GATTAAACCTGTATCTGAAATGTGATGCAGCCAGGAAGATTGAACTTGCTTTGTTTAATTGTGTCTGCAGACCCTGACCTGAGTTGATACAACTTGAGGGAAAGCTGGATTTCCATTCAGTCCAAAGAGCACTGAGCACAGTGTAGTGGTTTCATTAAGTCTGGATTATTACTGTAATCGTGCCAAAAATTTTGGCTTGGATGAAATCATTCAGCAAAATAACTTCTTAGTGATGAGTTCTAGAACACAGTAGAGAAAATAAAGACTAGCAACCCAAGTGGCTGCTGATCCGAAGGGATTAAATGTTCTCTAACCTTTCAAACTACTTTCTGGTCTTATTGCTTCAAAATGAAACTTTTTTCTGTGCTGAGGTGAGGCTTTGGAAGGCTGAAGCCCCAAGATGGCTTTGCATTAGCTGGCAAGAATTTTTTTAGGGATCCCAAAATTCCTCTCATCGTGGTGTCAACAAGCTCCCAGGTATGGAAGAACATAACTAGTTTGGATTTTTTTTTCCCCAGCTGATGATGCTAAAGAAGCTCTAAAGATTGGGGTAAATGGTATCCTGGTGTCAAATCACGGAGCGCGACAGCTCGACGGAGTCCCTGCAACTGTAAGTACTGGGGCCAATATGCATCAATTAGTCCCTAATTTTCTATGCCTTTGGCTTGTTTGCTTTCTCTGGAGGCTGGAGGGAAAACCTGGAATATGTGTTATCTGCCTTAACCCATGAGGGACCTCTCTCCACTTCTCTGTGTGTGTCACACCATGCTCCGAGTTAGACAAAGCCTCCCCTTGCTCAGATCAAATTGGAAAACCCTTAAGACATTTTTTCCAGTCCCTTCTTTCATGTCTCCTTTCCCATTCTTGTTTTGAAAAACTCCTGTTGCCATTTGCAGCACACTGAAGGTTGTATTAGAGTTGTTTTTCCCCTTTTAATATTCTTTGGAGGCTTCTGAAAAATGACAGTTATGGAACAGCTAAAAGGCAGAATGAAACTCTCTCTTTTTCTCCTTTCAAATATTTTCACCTTTGGAAAAGGGACAGAGTGATTCAATTACAGTTTTTTCCTTTTTCCTTTTCCTTGTCGTGCTACCCCGGGCCTTTTCCAAAGGTGAAAGGGATTTGAGAATTTCTTGGTTGGCAAAAAAGAAAGAAGGAAAGGCAAATGAAAAAGTATGTGTTCATGCTGAAGGAAAAACCCCAAAATTCCAGTCATCACTCATCCTGCTTCATTTGGTGTGGGAAAGCTGCGCAAATAAAAAGAGAATGAAAGGGAGGAGAATCAAAGCCCAGTTGTGCCTCTTTCAGTATTTCCAATGTGTTCCTGATGAAAAACCTCCTGTTTTCCATGAGGATTCCCTGAAGGGAGAGGGGAACAGGTCATCTTGTCACCTTGTGAGAATGCAGTCCCAGTTCCACTGAGAGTATTTGAAAATCTCAGGCAAGCCTGTGTGTGAGGGAATCCAGCAGGAACAATGTATGAGGATGTTAAAAAGATCATTTTGAGAGATGAGAAAGCTCGACAAATACGAATTAGTTTTTTGACAGCTGCAGTAAAACAGAGATTTGCACATTCTGGGTTATTCCTTTGCAACACCAGAGCACGAAGGAGAACCACTAAAGCTGGATTTATGGGCTAAAGAAGTGCCCTGCACAATGCAGTTTTTATCATATAAATATCTGTATCAGATCATGCTAAACGTTTGATTTAGAAACATAATAATTTGCTTCAATGTCATGGCTTTTCAGATGGTGAGCCCAACCCAAGCTGGTCAATATTTCTGGTGTCTAGTTACCCATTGAGAAAATCTCCTGTTTTAATGATGGTTTGCATCATGCTTTACTTATTAGAGCACTTTAAAGTTTGGTACAGTTTGTCAGGATGTAGAAAGTGGTCTCTGTATATGGAAAGAGATCCAAAATATGTCTGGCAAGAGAGCCAAACCAAAGGGAGGGGGTAAAATCACAGCAAGTGCCAAACTTCAAGAAAATTTTAATCCAAATCTAAAAACAAACTGCACTTTCAAGTTGGTTTCCCCCCCCCATCTTCCAGTCATTTTTATCCATTAGAAGGGAAATGAATTACATCCGTGTTTGAAAGGCATGGATTTGTGTGTCTTTTGTCTTCCTACCACACACTGTTTCCAGTCCCCTTAATACTTGGTTTCTGGTGCTGTGTCTTTCCTGATTTTCATGAATAGTAACTATTTAGGTGGCCTTATAGGAGCAGTTGCCCTCTAATTAATACTCCAGGCTTGAATTCAGGAGGCTCATCCCTTCACTGGGACCTCTTGCGTGGCAAGAGGAATAAATTCCTCAGTTAATTGTCACTTGGGAAGAGTAAAAATACTTCTCCCTTTTCCCTGTATCACTGGAGGAGGGGATAAGTAGAGCTTGGTGAAAGCAACATCCCACCTTGCTCAGAACTTAGGGGAAAACTAGTTCTTTCTTCCATGAAGTTTTTCTCTGCAGTTATTCCTGTGATAAGATGCATTTTGCAAAGGAGGAATACATTAATTAAGATTTTCAGCCAACTCCAAGTTCCTCCAGGCACACCTTTCTCTTACTCCTTGTCTATAGGTCCACTGCTTGCCTCGGGGATCCCGGTGCTAGCTGGGCCCTCAGAATAAATAAATAATAAATTTAAACAGGAAAGCAAAGATGGTTATTTAAAAAGTGGCAGTGATTCAATTGCATCCCTGAACTAGTGAAGACTGGAATTTTGGGAGGAAATCCCATGGAAAAGCCTCCTCTGTGCTGGCTGTTTCTTGCATTCTGCATAAGAATCAGACACCGGCTTGTGTCAGATCCAGGTCATGGGATCAGATGGATATTTTGTGTGACCCTGCTGATTGTCTTAATGGGACACTCCAAGTAAATTTGACCTCTGTCTATCTCTGCTAACCTGCTGTCACAAATAGAAACACAAAGCCCTGTTATTTGGGTATAGTTGGGCATGCTCACTCAGTTGCTCACTGACTTGGTATAAAGCCTGGATCCTGCGTGTAAGAGCTCCCCCCAAACACAAGCAGGGTTTCAGAAGCAGCTGAGCTGTGTGTGTGGTGTCACCCCTGCAGATTGATGTGCTGCCTGAGATCGTGGAGGCTGTGCAGGGGAAGGTGGAGGTGTTCCTGGATGGCGGGGTGAGGAAAGGCACCGATGTCCTCAAGGCTCTCGCTCTTGGTGCCAGAGCTGTGTTCATTGGAAGACCTCTGCTCTGGGGGCTGGCTTATCAAGTAAGTTAGATAAAGCTGAAATCCATGTTTTTAGACACCTAAACTCACTGTTTAGGCTTTTTTTGTGCACATACACGAGTCTGTGTGCAACGGGAGTGTGTGTGGTGGTGTCTCAGTGGGTCTGGGTGCATCCAGATCATCTGTTAAAACTTGCTATGACAAACACTCAGGATTTACACTGGGGCATAAACCCTTTTTTGGCACTTGTGTATATATATATGTCTATACCTACACACATAATAGCACACATTGTCTCCTCATCTCCCAGGGTGCAGAAGGAGCAAAAGAAGTTCTCCAGATGCTGAAGGAGGAGTTTCGCCTGGCAATGGCACTGACAGGTGAGGCATCAATATTTCCTCTCCGTAACCACATTTTCCCACAGCTTTCCTTTGCCCTGGGCAAGATGCTATAGCAACTTACAGGAGGGGAATGTTTGCAATAGAAACAGGTTAGTCTGTGGAGAAATGGGGAGAGGACTTGTTATCCCTGTCTTAATAAAAGGGGAACTGGGTAGATTATGTAAAAACAATAAATTTATTTTTTCTCACAAGGAGAGCAATAAATCCATAGAAAAGTAGTGAAAAATCCTTGGTCACTAAGGGGTGGATTTTCACTCAGAGAATGTAGATTTTTATGAGACAGAGAAAGAAAAGGCTTAGAGTGGAGTTTCAACTGAAATGTAACTTCTCCTCCAGGATGCCGGAGAGTAGAAGAAATCAGCAGGACACTGATCCGAAGACATCAAGTGTTGTCTTCCAAGATTTAGGTCTGAAGACTTCGCTTCGTGT